CGACTGGAGCACGTCCCCTCTCCCCCGAGGAACTTCATTATTGTTGTAATACGCAAGGAGTTGGGGTATTTTTCTCCAATTCTGTAGCAATTAGTGCTATGCCAGGCAGCCGGAAATTTTAATTAGCAGCATACCATCTTCATTTGAGTGGGTTTGGTTCTATCAGAAATTAGTGGCTGAGGGATGAGGAAGAATTTAGCAGGTGTGGATCTGATCTGTTCCAGTCCCCTGGAAATACCAGGCCACTTCTGCCTTGCACAGGAGCCACAAGCACTGAGCATCCTTCAAAATCAAGCAACATCTGTCTTCATCTTCTGCAGCACAACCAGTGCAAAGGGGCCTAAATTGAATTCTTAAAAGTAGTTTATAATCCCAAATGCATTTGGGGTTTTCCCGTGATTCTACAAACACTGTCTCAAAAGTTCCAAAGAAATGATATGCAGAAACTCTCATTTATCTTGGCTGCCTTGAGTATTTTAATCCAGTTGCATCTGCCTGGATTAATTTAATTATATCCCATCTATATTTTTCCTAACTTCATCATCTTTGGAACTTTCACTACCTGTTTCTGAACTGTTCCAGCTACTTTTCTGCCTGCCTGGACTGTCATTCCGGGTACAGCCCTTCATTTGTATATTTGCCCACCTTTAACCCACCCAAGCATCACTCCTCTGTATTACCTGGCTAGGTAGATACTGTCATTGCATTTTCTATACTGTTTCCTTTACTCCACACTCACTAGCATTCTGGTCGTTTAAGATTAAATGCATAATATTTTCCTCTGCTATAAAGACTGTTCTGCAGCATTTTACATGCTAATACTGAAAGGCTTGTTTTCATGGCTGCCTCTATCGCAGTGTTACACACATAATTTTCACCTTATCTTTGTTTCGTTTCGTTCCATTCTTTCCATATTATGTCCTTCTGTACTATCCTACTTGACTAATGTAGAAAGGCAGAATATAAAGAAGATAAATGGCTGATCCAAGAGCAAATAAAGGCAGTAATACATGCCTTCATGCTCCCAGCAACAACAAAAAGAAAAGTCAAAAACTAGAGGCTTCATCATAATTATACTGCCACAACTAATAGGAGAATTTTGCTCATGACCTCCTGGCTTTACTTCTCTGATGCAATGAATTTTCTCACTGTTACCTGTTACTCACTTGGTGATCCAGGTTTTTAGGTACTTAGCGGCAGCAGCTGTAGGAATCAGAGCATTCTGAAACATCCTCCCTGGGATCCCATGTGAATTTACTGTGCTGCTCTTTCACACTGACCTGGCTGTTTCCAGATTCTCCATAGTTTCAGTTCCTCCATTCAAATACACCGTACAAGGTAGATCCTCTGTACTGCTGCTTATTCTCAGTCAGTGAGCAGGCAGGCAAGTCTCCTTAGTCTCTTGTGTTGAAAGCACAGCAGCTGTTTGACAAGGCAGCAGCAGGGTTCCAAGCAGGGATTCTTCTTTTCTTTCATTGTGTTGGATCTGAGTCCTCTTTTCTACCCTTCCCCTCCTGGTCTCCCACTGCATTGTTAATAGAACTGGAGGCAAAGTTCAAAATACTCATCAGTAGTTCTGACTGTCAGACAGACAGAACAACTGAAATTTGTTCAGTTTAATGGCACCCAGAAGGCCAAGTGACAGAAATCTGGTGGCCTTTATTGACTTCTGAGAGGACTAGTGTACACCTACCTCACATAAAACACTGACCCCTCCATGAAGGGTAGGGCTGCAGTGCCCAGAAAATGGCAGATTATTAAATGATAAAACTGGAATGGAACTCAACCAGGTTTCTGCTTTATGTACTTAAACAAATGTCACCCCTATGTATAGTAAATACAGATCAGATCCCAAAGTGGTCACCAGAATGCTTTGGAAGGAGGTTTCCTGGCAACAGTAGGTAATATGTCCATGGATTAAAACTAGATGTGTGCCTATGGCAAAGCTCCCTTTCACATCTTTTCTTCTGTATCTATGTAGCTATGTTGGCGTACCATGGATTTGTGGAATTGAGATGAGCAGGGTGTGTAGCACCACCAGCATTATCAGGTCTCGAGAGTGGAGAGTTCTGCTATAAAATGGTCCGTGCTACTTCATCTCAGTTCGATGCTGACTTCTGTCCTCAGCCTGCCAAAGCTGGCCTGTTAATGTGGTGAGCTCTTGTAGGATGGACAGTAGTGTGCCAGTAGCAAGGTCTTTCACATTGTTTTTCAGAACCAGCTAAGAGGTGTAAATAGTCCACAGCTCTTGACTGAAAGAGTTCTGGCTGCCAGCTCTTTCTAAAAGCTCATTCTTTATATCTTTATTTAATTTGACTGATGATGGCTCAGAGCAGGACTGATCTACAGTAGGCTCAAGATCTATTTTTTAAAACCGTCATTTCCATTAATACCTCCTTTTTGCCTTTCAGACATGGCCATGCCCAGTTCCCTTTTGTGGGCTGTTGACATTTTTGGGAGGGTTTACACCCTCTCTACTGTTGGCCAGTACTGGGAGCTCTGTAAGGACACACAGCTGGAATTCAAACGGGTCTCTGCCGTCAAACAATGCTGCTGGGGAATAGCCTGTGATCATAAAGTATACACCTACGTGTTCTCAGGTGACGTTCCTATTAGATACCAGGAAGAAACCTATGAGAATCAGGTATGACGTGTTACGGGCACCTCTTATCACACTGCCACGTATTTGTCAGAAAGGAGTGATAGCAAATCCATACATCAGTTGTCTCTGCATGTTTGTCTCACAGGAAGATTGTTTGGTTTTGTTTTCATTTTTTACCTGATGTTTTCCTTTCCTTAGTGACAAATACACAGTCCTCTCAAGAAAATGTTCCAGGCAACAGAGATACATATCAGAAACATATTACTCTTAAGAAAATGCTATTTTTCAGTGTTTCAAAGACTTCTCTAATAAAGGCATAACTCTCCATTAAATGTTTCCAACTTTTTTGCATAGAACTGTTAAGATGATTTTGTCTACGTGATGTATTTTTAAAAAATGTCTTTAAAATAGTATTTTCAAGGGAATTTATCCATTTTGGTTTTAAGTTAACCACAAGGTATTTATGAGAGAAAATGGAAGGATTTCGTTGAGTACGTTTCTCTGATTTCTAATGGGATACATATAAGTTGAGAAATGTAACTTATTTGTGTGGGTAAAAATACAACAAATTAATTTTACACGCTATTTAACATTGATACAGCTTTCCAGCTATTTAAGAATGTGCATTTTGTTATGTAAATGTGTTCTTTAAAAATGCAAAACTTTAGATTTTATTTTTGTTATTTTAAAACTTTTGGTTTGTTTGTTCTAGGCTATGAAAAAATGGAAACCAAAATGCTAGAAAGTACAAAAGGGAATATTCTGCAAGAGCTGACAATGACAATTAAATAGTTTTCAGATAACGTGCAAAGCAATTTAGCCAGATTCCTAGTAAAACTAAATAATATTTTGCATAAAAATTATAGGATTTTGAACCACTCGTTTTCCACATGCCCTCAAATCTAAGACAGTATTACATGACAAATTTTCTATTTCTCTAGTAGGTAATAGTGTGAGGAAAAAAATTAAAATCCCAGCTGCATTGTTGAAAACCCGAGCAAGATATTTGTTCTGTAACTGATTAAAGCCTGATTTGGAAAACAACCCCTCTTGGTATAACGTAAGATACAGGGAAGATTTACTGAGATAGCTATCTTGACATAGTTTCTGGCACAGAAGCCATGCTATTTTTCTAGTACAGGCAAGTTACTAATCGTCTTTCTCATGGGGAGTAGATTAGAGATCCCAAGGCTATCTAGACAGCATTATCCTAATGCTGCAGTGTCATGGTGCCATAGATCACCAAAGAACAAAGCACTGTTAGGAGTAAAATACATCAGATGTTCCTATTTAAGTAGCTGAAAATGACTTGGTTGGGACTAGCTTTGCAGTCAGCCCTTCTTTGATACTTAAAAGCTTCCCCAAAGGCTATGATAGGTAGTGGCTTACAGTGTGAACGCTTTCTCATTCACCCTAGGAATTTATTCCTCTTTTACTGCAGAAAATAAGAAACGTATCATTTACGACTGTAGATGTCCAGTGAGATTACGTGATCTCAATTAAATGTTTTATTTATTATTTCTGGCAGCGCTGGAATCCAGTTGCTGGCTTTTGTGAGAAATTACTGCCCAGTGACCGCTGGCAGTGGAGTGATGTGAGCGGGCTAAAACATCAGCAGCTTGATAGTTTCACACTGCCTTCACCACACTGGGAGTGGGAGTCTGACTGGTATGTGGATGAAAATATTGGAGGGGAACCAACAGAGAAAGGGGTAGGTGAACAATACCAAAAAGAGGTCTATTCTGGGGATCCTTAGTCTGTAAAATAAAAGGCACTTTTATAGACACGTAAAAGTCTGTAAAAATAAAAGGCACTTAACTTCCCATAGCTACTTCTTTCTGGTAATTAGCTCAACTATAATACAACACAAAGAAGGATCTTGTTTGAAGGCTTTTGAAGTCTATAGGAGCTTCTGTAGAAGCTTGTCTCTTTTTATTAGGCCATGAAATGGTGGCAACTAAATGCCATTGTTATTTAAGATCTTTACTAGGAAGAAACTAAAATGCTTTACTGTGTCTTGTTTGTTCTGTGTATATCCTGCAGAGGAATTTGGACATGAGTCACAAATCATTCATGGAATTAGCTGATCTGT